TGTTGATAAAAATTAACAAAATTAATTATTTCATCTTATACTATTGACGTATGGTAAAAAAAAAACACTTTTTACCTTCCCCGTAGCAGCAAACCTAAGCACTCGTTAAATCTGTTATTTAAATTGGGAATAAATATGTCTTATTTATAGAAATATTTTAGTACAAATGTAATCAGACAAGTTGAAATTCGCTTAGTCTGCAGGTTTGCTGCGGCGGGGGTATTTAATACTTTCATCTGAAATGGCGACCAAACGAAGGTAAGTGACTATGGGAATGGGGTTTTATGGTGGTTTATGACGTAAAAATGGGGGTTTCCCATTTCAAAATATCAAACTTTTCAACTTCTTTCTAAATAATTTTGTAGAGCAAAAAGAAAAACAAATATATTAGTATATTGTAACGTTGTGTACACTAAATGGTTAAATGATTACTGAGAAAAGTTGAAACTAAATTTGAAAGTCCCACGTAGTTCTTATAAATAATGAGTTATTTTATATTGTTTGCTTGTTTATGGATATATTTTGGTCAAATCTTTTTATTCCATGCTAAATCATTGACGTTATTTAAAAGCCCACTTTATTACCTTCCTTATAGCAAGAAACCAATATACTTATTAAATCTCATTTTATTTGACAAGGAGATAAATCTGACATTTAACAAAGGGAATATTATCATGAAAATCAAATCAGGCGAATAGAAAATCGTTAAGTCTGCAGGTTTGCTGCTGCAGTGGTATTTTATAAATTGCATCTTGTTATAAAGACTATTTTTTACGTATCAATTAATTTCACAGTTTGACTAAACTATTGCACACGATACTCAATGAATCTTAGCGAGTCTAAAATCAAAATAATCATAATAGTCGGGTGATAAACAAAACTGTATTCATTCACTACTTAACAATCACCTACACTTATTGTTTGTGGAACATAAAAATAACTATAATGTAAAGATCTATGGGTCTATATCTATACAGGGTGATTTTTAAATGAGTCCCCCCCCTACTTTTTTATCAGTACTTGTAATCAGCGTAAAACTCTAGTTTGGAATAATGGGTCACAACCCTACCTTTACATTTGAAAAAAAATCTTTGTATCCAATATGGCGGATCCAAGATGGCGGCCAAAAATTTGTACCCAGTCAAAATGAAGTACTTACTACTTTACAATGATCTGACGTGGTCCGGAGTTGATATCTTAAGAAATGTAGAAAAAAGTAGGGGGGGAACTCATTTAAAACTCACCCTGTATGTGTAAAGATCTATCATTTTTACCACACACAAGCTACATCAAGCAAAGCAAAAAAATTTTGGCTTTCAGATGTCTTCTGTTACAACATGCTATTTTGTGCTCGGTTTAATAGAGGTCAAAATCCCATAGGCCTTCTCTAGCTGAGCAACAAGGGTTACAAGATCTTGGCGCTTTTCCACGACATCTTGTGATTCCTTCATCAAGTTGGAAGTGTTGCCCTTGTACAGTTGAGCTATTAACTCGCTGTGGAGACGCTCGATTACAAAGTTCACAAAGGAGTGCATGATGATCTTCGGAACTGTGTCTTGAACGCTGATCTGGACAATGGAAAAATAGCTTTGAATTAATTTTTGAATTAGTTGATAATCCCGATTTGCTTCCGAGATTTCTTCTTTTTTCTCCAAGATTTCTCCTTCTTTCTCAGAGATTTCTTCTTTTTTCTCCGAGAACTTTACCTTGGGTTTGCGTGCTATGCAGTTCTTTTCTTCCAAAGCTATTGGCTCTTCGCCACTCACATGGTTAGTGTCAAAGTTCGGATGTTTTGTGTTAATGTAGGCTAACTGGACGTCTATGAAGTTGTCAACCATTTGGTTTGCGATGGAAAGTCGGCTGCGGAGAAGTTCTGTGACGACATGAATGACTTCTTTCTGCAGTATTGGATACTTCTCAAGTCCGATCAAAGGATCATAGGCGCAAGTCTGGACAATTCTACAAAGCTCTTCGTTGACATGGTCGACACATCGGAGACAATGTGGACGTAAACGTTGGATCTGTTGCTTCACTAAAAGTTGAAACGTCACCTCGGGAACAAACAACCCGGGACTCACACCTGATGCATTCTGGGTAGCGGTCAAGATGGCCTCTTCAGACAACCCAGATAGTGCATCTATCTTCCGCAGCGCTTGGGCAAAACTCTTTTGAAACACGGAATTGATTCTCGCCCCTCCAGACAGCTCAGTGGTCTGAATGTTCTCCGTGTCACCTTTGATGATGGAACAAAACGTTCTTGAAAATTTTGAGATGATATCAATCAACAACAAAGGCTTGTCCAAACTCACATCCCCCAAAGCTTTGAGTTCTTCTTGATTCTTTGACAACTTGTCTTTGATGTTTGTTTTAAGTTTTGGCAAACAACTTTTTATGTGTTCGGTTAAGATTCTCTGAACCGTCTTCGTCAAGTAGGGTGTTCCGTGGAAGCGTTCAATTGCTTTGTAATTCTCGTGGAAAAACTTTTTTTCTTGTTTCAATGCTTCTTTCAAGGATTTGTTTTCCATGATGTCTCGTTGTGATCGGTTGACGACGCCAATTATACCCAGTTTGACCGGTATGATTTTCCCAGACAGGATGTCCCACGCATCTGTGCCTTCGTCCATGAGGTCCAACTTGGTGATGACCGCCAGAGTCCTCTTACCTTCAGGATCCACCTCAAGAGCCAATGCTAGACTCTCGCTCGTCGTCAGATCCGCATTTGCAGGAGTCACTGCTAGAATTATACTATTTGGGTTTCTAGAGTATTCAAGCAATAAATCTCTGGTTTGATTTTCAATGTCGTCTGGCTGGTCACCAACAGGTATTTTCGTCAACCCGGGAAGATCTACCAATGTCAGATTTAAAAAGGAGTTGGAGTAAATCTTCAATGTGATTGGAACATTACAGATCCCTTTGTTGGATCCAGCGAGCTTCACGGTTTGATCTAGTATTTCCGCAGAAATCAGGTCGAAATCCGTGAAGACTTTTGTCTGGTCGTGTTGGAAGATGGCGTATTCCTCAGCGAGTTCAGTGGACGAATGTAAAAGCTGCAGAACAAGAGGACATCTAGTCACAACCCCGACACCTCTGGGTAGGAAGGACTTTCCCACTAGATGTTCCAGAACAGAGCTCTTCCCCGCACTCTGAGAGCCTATCACAACTACCTGGGGAAGGTCGACAACTTGACCACTGACCTGAAACACGTCTTGTAGCTGGTTGACGATCTCCACTAGTTCGTTCATTCTGAATAATTTTAACGTATTTTAAATGTTAAAAAAGTCTCAAGATATCACTTGCAATTACAAAACAATATTTTAAACAGTAAATATTATATTACTCATTAACCATTAAAACTTTATTTCTATGAAAAAATATCCTTGATTACAGTTTTACACAGATGAATACTTTATACATATGCAGAAACAATAACTGAAAACCTTTTAAGTACAAGTGCTAAATTAACTATTTTAAATAGTCTGACAACATATTAGCCTTTATTGAAATTAATAATTATCTCTCCACTAAAAAGTACTATCTTAACCGGATATAAAGAGTGGTTTGGAATCTGTACAATCTTTGGAATTGAAATTCACCCTCTGGGCAATAACTAAGAGGAAATTGAGGGTTTTAACTTTCCCTGGTAGCAGAAATGTAGATTCCTACAGCGACCACCAGAAAAAATCCGACACCGATGAGATGAAGAATAAATCTGTGTTGAAGTGAGCGAGCGATCATCGCCTGGACAAGCCGGGAACTGCGGCTGAGCTCTGCATCAATCTCCCTCAGCTGGAAGTTAAAATTTAAACGATAAAAAAATATTCAATTCAATTCATATGACTTTATTCATTTCAGTACATCAATACCGGAATGGCGTCAAGAGTGATTTTCCCATTATCAGTATTTAATAAAACTAAGATACTAATCGTTATTATGCATGACGTAACGTAACATCTATCTATCCTATATATAATACGAGTACAGTTTGAATCCTTGTTACTTCGATCTGGGAATCGGTACACACAAAAACGTTTATATTTACGGAATAACTAAGTTCTGTGTCAAAAATAAGTTCTAGACCAGTGGTATAGCCAGGAAAAGTCTATTTTCACCAAAATATGAATACAAACTTTTGAAAATTTAACATGGGCCTTATGGAAAAACATTCCGCAATTCATGTCAATTTGTTTACATTTTAAGACATAACTCGACGTTCTGTACACACGGGCACCTCAGCTTGCGCCTTGCGCATGCGCAGAACTCTTGAAGTACTTTCCGAGGTAACTGATGTGTATATCTAATAGTCAATGAGCTTCTGATACAATTTTGTCAACTTGAGACAGAGAGAAAGAGAACGACTCGACTTTGCTCCAGTTCATTAAATCGTTTGATGCATAAGAATTTGTATTACTTTATAACACTTTCCAGAGTAATGGGTTTCTAATCCATTAAAAAACTATTCTTATATTATCCTCAGCTTTATTACTCTTTATTTAATACTTTTGCCAATTTAAACGAGTGATATATCTTATTTTTTATATTTTTAATGGTTTTAATAATAGTTATCATCACTAAATTACTCTTTTCGTTGGTTGTCGTGTCGTTGTCAATAATGTCGTCTGATTCTGACTGATATCAGATGTCACACTGAATCGGTCACAGGGATAATAATTATTAATTGTAACCTACCACTAGCTTACATAAATAAGTTGAGTGTTGCAATTAGCAGTGTGGGATGATTGCACTGAATAATTTAGCTATCTATTTCAGAAAAATAAAGTTTAAAATAAATCAAACACTAGGATCTGTTCTTAAGTTTTGGCCGTTTCGAGATGGATCCGCTTTCAGGACTCAGCCTAGCCTGAACACTAGCTGCTAGTAGCCTGAACAACTGGGTTAGTATCTTGACTTAGTGGTTCATCCATGTTTAGTTAACACTAATCAATGCCTATACTAGATTAGATTATACGTGCCTTATTCTACTCCGTTTCAAAAATGGAACTATGAGGTTAGTTTATTTACTCTGTGATTTTGTCATTGATCATAGGAAATAAGTACCATTGCTGTGTACGAATCGAAGCTCCCGAATCTTCCAAAGGAAGCTTATGAAAAATATTTTACTACTCGACTTTTTGAGGAAAGGTTGGGAAAATAGCAATGATCACATGTTTTAAATAATCTTGGCAGCTTTTTCGTTACTATAAATTTTGAACTGCTTAAACTATGCGTGAATTAGTAATTGACACACTATATACAGTTTAAATGGACTACTCGATTCCCGTACGTAGGACGGGCCAAACAGCTCGTATATATACTAAAACGTGACAGGGCTTTTTATTTTACGATTCTGAATCAACCACTAGACGGAATTTTTATGATTTTTGTTTTGGAAGAAAGATAATTTTGAGAACTAGGTAATGTCAAAGCCATCATTTTAGTTTAGGGTTTCAGTTTTTTAGAAAATAAGTTTAACATTTTAAAAAGTTTAGCAGCCGACGCTTACATTCTACACTAGCTTTTGGTATAAAACGTAACAGCTGTAAACATTAAGCGTGTGTGACACAAATTCTGCATTTGAATAATAATGAAATGACATACGTAGGATTGACTTATTTATACTATGTGTAATGCCTTAATAATTGATGCATTCATTTATTTGGTAAGGGGATGACAGATTATTTTAATATACACTGTAAATACTTGATAGTCTAATTTATTTTTAGAGCAGTCTTTTAACTCTTGGGCTTGTTTTAGTGCAATATAATTTGTTTGAACTAACAGCTAGATAGGATAGATTAAGGAACGCGGCAGCGTTCCGCCCCGCCAAGTCCCCCAGCGGTACACAGCTGCTGCAGTGTATATATACATGACGTGACAAAGTGGCTTTTTTACTCGTTTATAGCTCTGAAGAAACAAAAGCTATTAAAATAATTGTTCATCTACTGGATAGGGGCACTCATTCTCAACAAAATAAAAAAAAACAATTAAAAAACTGTTGTGGTTGAGCCGAGAAAAAATAGTTTGAAAATTTGCAAATTTTCCGTGTTCTCCTTTTCCTTCTCCTCCTCCTCTTTCTCCTTGAATGTTGACGGACCTACAGCCCAAACCACTGGCTCAATTTTCAAGTTTTTATGTGGTTTGAAAGCCCTTAACGTGTAGATGTGCCTTTTGAGGGTCTCAAGTCGGTGCGTTGACTCATAAACCCCTGGAAAGCCCTCAAAGTACGATTTTGGCCCATTTAAATAACATGGTATTAAAATCAAAACAAAAGAAGGACCGGCTGCGATTAAGTCTCAATTAATTTAAATGTTAGAGAAATTCATAGGAACAGCTGATAATTATTTTAAAACTTTTATAAAATATTTTTTCAGGTATACCGAATGATTTGAACGACTTACTATATAAAATTATTTAGAGCAGTGATATTCCCCGATACTTTCAATTGAAAAATGCAGTGTGGTACACTGGTACAGCAGCTCGTCATTTTTAACAGTTTAATACTACTTATCAAAACATATGAAACCTAGGAACTTGAAACGTAGTATTTGTTTTATGTTTTGATACACTAAAGCAAATAAAACAATCGGGAAAATCACTCTACGTATGTTAAACAAGCAATTGAAAAGTTATATGTAAATTTAGGATAAATTAGTTTTTCAATATTTGTTTTGCCTTATGCTATTTCTAACAAACCTAAACTTTTTGATTAAATTTTTACTTCTATAATAAGTTTTCAATTTACACTAGTCTTTAGATATACAGGTTTAATTATCAGAACACTTAAGTAACACCAACGCATTTTATGTTGTTCAAGATGATCATTGATGAAATTTGAAACTGAGTTTAAGCCCAGGGGGTTTGTTAAATAGTAATTTTGGTACGTGTGTCAACAAGTTTTTAATCGGTTTAAATCAGATAAGACCAAAAATGTAGAATTTAGTTCTACACAAACAATATTATTAAAATTAAATGAGATGTAGTTGTGCCGTGGTCTTTATATCAGAGAAAAGAGGATTTTTATTTTAGGATAACTGTTAATTTTCTACAAAAATAAATAAAATCCAACAAAAAACCACTAAGTGGTAACACTTTCCCCGCCAAGTCAGCAATCCAAAAAAGATAATAAATCATTACTTTTTCCGCCAAGAAAAACAGTGTAATGTATTTAAGTTTGGCAACTTGGTGGCAGACTTTTGCTCGATCACTTAAAAAAATACCATAACTAGTGTCAATGAGCAAGTATCTCTCCCATTAGTACATTGCTAGGTGAGAGCTTATTTTACAAAATTTGACCTTATTTGTGCTACATTTCATAAAATCATAATAGTGATGGTTTTATATTTACTGATTACCTCGAAATTAATATACTTAGTTGGACTAATTAATTAGAGAAGTTGATTTATGAAATTATCCACGAACGTAACTTTAATGAAAAAAAACCAAGCAAAAGTCTGCCGCCAAGTTGCCAAACTTACATACATTACATTGTTTTTCTTGGCGGAAAAAGTAATGATTTATTATCTTTTTTGGATTGCTGACTTGGCGGGGAAAGTGTTACCACTTAGTGGTTTTTTGTTAGATATAAAAATATTCTATGGAACTAGGAGGTTATTTAATTTAGTCATTGATTATAGGAAATAAGTAAGATTAGTAGGGATTAAGTAGACAATAGAGATAAGAAAGCCCTTTGCCGTATACAAATCGAAGCTCTGCCCACGACTCTTCAAAGAAATGTCTATGAACATTATTTTACGAGATTTATTCAGAGATAAACAAATGGATGACAGAGATTAAACACGATTTTATCATTGACAAGGCTACTGCAAGTAGGACTATAATTACTATCCTTTTGTCAAATCTAAAACGTTGTTTGGCGTGTGTTCATGTGTGGCTACGTTTGGGTCGCTGATGTAGGCAAAATATCGATTTTATTTTTTAACTTATAGTTTGGATGAAGGAAAACGGGAAATTAGAATGTACATAGATTCAATGAGGGTTGGTAATTATCACAGATATTAGAACGGATAATGGTAATATGGATAGTAAACATAGAAAAAATACGTCACACTACTTACTAGCGTGTTTACAATTTGAAATTCTTTCTACAGATGACAAGCGATTTTTTTCAAATGAATGTTATTTCAACTAAACATCTGTTTCTAAACAAACTATTTCTCTGTTATTGTTTTTGATTTTCTTTGTTTACTAATTTATTCAGCAATAATTAATGCAGTGAAATCGATACAAAAGATAGGTATGGATGATTTATAATGTCACAATATGTTGACATACCAAATTTTTGGTTGGTAATTCAAATTTCAACAGTTGTAGTAGGTCACTAGAAAACTCTCCAATAAGCTGCAGGTTGTCAGTAGATACCAAATTGGATTCATTTCATACCATAATATCCCAGTAGTGTATGGTTCAGAAACTTGGGCACTGACCAAAGAACCGAAAAACCTTATTGCTGGGTATGAGAAATAGAGTGCAGAGAAAATATACGGGCCATTTATAATAATGGAGGTTGGGATATGAAAAAACAGAAGCTAAGAGGAATATTTAAACACCTAGATATGCGTGGAGGAGAGAAGATACATTTTATTTTAAAATCTTACCGATGAGTACCACAAGTTAGACGACCACTTGGAGGACCAAGCAATGAAAGACTTCACCAGACTTGGATCAAAATTAGCAGAGGCAAGGGATATAAGAGAATGGGAGGCCAAAATCCTCTTAAGGTTTTAGTGGCCTTAGGTAAAATAAGGTAGGCCTACAGTAAGTGATAATATGCAATTAAAGGTGGTACGTAGCTACTGTAATTTAAACCAGTGTGTGAAAATCGACCGCAAATCTCACTTCAAGGCTTTTCAAATCGACACAATTGCAGTTTTATTGTAAAATAATACGGATTTAAATGCATATCAGACGAAAGAATTAGATGGTCACGTGGTATTAACGAGAAAGGTTATATATTAAGTCTGCCAGAATTTTTCTTTATGCGTGTAAACTTGCAGTTCTGAATTATTATAGGCTAGGCTATTCAGTTTTATTTGACTACTTGATTCCCGTACGTAGGACGGGCTAACAGCTAGTCTATATATATAAAATCCAATGTATGTTTTGTTTGTATGTATGTATGTTTGTCCTTTATGGACTACGAAACCCCTCGACAGATTTTAATGAAACTTTCAGGCATTATTAAGCATTATTCAATGATGGTTTGTGTGAAGTTTGGTGCAGATATGTCAAAAGGGCTCCACCCCAGTGGCTCTGGAGTTTCCCATGTTAACCTTATGAGTACTCATTTAAATGGAACTAGCTGTACCCGCGGGCCTTGCCCCGCTTAACTTCATAAGTATTCGCATGGCTCAATCACGTCCTGGTTGAAGTTCATTCGCTACGCTCACTCACCTTCAGGTTGGAAATCGTTCGCTGCGCTCTCTTGTTTTCAGGTTAGCTCGTTCGCTACGCTTACTCGCCTCCAGGTTCATGTTCGTTCGCTACGCTCACTCACCTTTTGGTTGCAAATTAGCTGTTGTCATAAATTTAAAAAAGTCATCCCTTTTATTGTTTATAATATTTTGATAAAGGTTTTAATGTTTTTAATATTTAACATTGAAGAATTTAAACGTTGTTGAGTGCACAGGTGTGCTGCGATTGGGGTTTATAAATTTAGACTTATTCAAAAGTAAAATAGTTTTCTGTGCTGCACTCTGTAGAAACACTGTAGCACTATTTCAAATCATGACTAATGCTAATACAGAATGTTGTGATTATTAACCTACAAAACAATTGGTAAAAGTAAACATATGCTTTTAAATTATATTTATTTGTAAACATTGTAGATCAAAAAGTCTGACATTGGCCCACTTAAAACCCTCTGGGGCAGAGCCCTTTTGACGGATCTGCACCAAACTTCACTCGAACCATCCTAGAAAGATGCTTAATAAAGCCTGAAAGTTTCATTACAATCTGTCTAGCGGTTTCGGAGTCCATAACGTATATACA